TTCTTCAGTATTCTTTCAGTAGTCTGTAAAAGACTCAATTCAGTTGAAGTATTTGGAAAGATTCTTTCATCAATCATATTATCATCATCATCTTCATCATTGGGTGAAGAATTGAGTTGATTTTTAACTTGTATTAGTAATGATTGAAGATGATCTAACTTCTTTCGAACTTCATCTATTTCATCTGTTAAGTCTATCGAAGCGTCCAAGTCACCCGATTGAGATACGCGCAAACCCAAAGTTCGGAAAACAACGATTTGTCTACAATAGCGTTTCTTTATTAAATAATACACTGCTACTATGTTTAGTAGCATTCCAGAATCTTCTAGCAACCCAAGGACATTTAAAATGTTATAAAAACCTTATATTTTCTGTATTGAAATTAACTTTGGAGTAAAGTACTTCTCGCATACTTTGCACCTTCCCTCTCGTTGTTCACGTCACTGTATAGTTCAAGCTTGTGGGTTATAGAATAATTTAGGAAACGAATATAGCGTTCAATCTGCAAGACTTATCACTATTTTAATGGTTGAAATCATGAATCAATTGAAAGTAGAGCACCATGATAAACCTGAATGTATTGAAAGGCTGTTCCATCTTATTATAGGACTCTTCAGCAATGTGTATCCATGATCCAGTTCAGTGCTTCAGTTTTCCTATGGTTATATAGCTTCAATTGACTCTACTATAATATCCACAAACACGGCTTCTTATATGAATCACTACTTTTCTTCTTTAATATTGATAATCATACTGCAAAGATTTATCCTCAGAAGTACCAGAAACTTATTACATTCGGTTGAAAACATGATTTATGTCAAATATGTTGATCAACAAATAAAAGAATAAATTGGAATGAAAGTAGATGAAGGTTTTCCTGTTCATATGTGAACATAAAATCTAAGTAAAGTAATGAGTAACACAGTTACAAAGTCATTTAACAGTGGTTTGCACAACATTAAATCAAATATACTCAAATAAGATCACATTCTCCCCAAATATCCTGGTGCGGTTGAGAATAGTGAGATTAAACTTTCTCGAAATGCCCTCACATGACCATGTGCAGACAACCACTACCAGGGATGTTCAACTCGCTGCCTTCTCGCGTAAACGTTGTTGTTTATGAAACTGAGAGGACGAGAAGCGAGTGTTTGGCGCTTTATCCGGGTTGATGGATATGGAGGCTCTACCTGGGGGAGTGGCAAAATCTTAATTCCAAACCAATGATGCACATGGGCTCCAATATCCTAAAGAAACAAATGGCATATGAATCAATTGTTGGTAACCAGCTAACATGAGACTGCATTTCATAAAGTTACTCCACTGTCTTGTAGATTAGACCTTTAGATCAAAGGCTCTGGTTATGGGCCCCTAAGAAAACCATCTGCTTCAGTTAGGGCACTAGGAACAATATTCTAACCTTTACATAAATCATTTGTTTTATATGAAGGCATATATATCATACTACTTACAAAACCATTTATATTATATAATGATTTATTATCGATCACATTTGTTCTATACAAATAAATGTACTTTGCCAATTTTCATATTTGTCAATATTTTCCATCAAGGTCGGTATTTTCATTGTTACTATGGTGATAATGACATCAAAAGAAAACTCATCATATTGCTATATTCAATATAATAATCATAGAAAGAAATTGAAATAGTTCAATATACAATAAATCAATGCATAGTGATTATAATTCTTATGGAATAGTAGAACAAAAGAGTAAGTGTTATGTCCCGATAATCATAATGAATGATAATCATTTGGGATCCATTTATGCATCTATACTATACGTATATTGTTATTGTATAATTGTTATCTAACTAAACGATTCATATTCGTCTCCCTCTTGTCATAAGCTTTACTGTGACCTATGAATGATTATTAAACTAGTTGTCATTCTTGAATTATACACTGTCTATCGATTAATACCTCCCCTTATTCACATCCACTTTTGGTTAGATCTTCTGCAAATGTTATTTCCTATTTTATGGTACGATGTGGTCTGTTTGGTTTGTATATACACCCAGTATGTTTGAAATATCATGATTCATATTACAGAGGTTGAGATTGATGTTCCGGATTGAACAGTCATGGTTAGACAGGAAGCAGGACTGATATGAACTCTAGACTAGTCGTACGGGTTTTACGCGTCATTGTTCCAGTCGATAAATTACTGTTCTCTAATTGACGATATCATTACATGATACATTCACAGGGCACACCGGCCACATGTTATAACAGTAAGTATTCGAAGTATTTGTTGAATTGTGATTTCGGTGGTTGAAATCATGATTCAATTAAAGCTAGACTACCATGAAAAACCTGGAAGCACTGGACGGCCTTTTCGTCCCGGTATGGGACTCCTCAGCAGTGCGCACCCACGATCCCGCCCTCCGCAATATTCGAACCCAGGACCACTGAGCCGGCTGGCATCCAACGGTGTTAATGTCTAACTTCAACCAATGCACGAAGTTGCCCTCGCGGACGAGATCAATAGCTACTAGGTTCGAATATCGCGAGGGTGAGATTGTGGATGCGCGTTGGTGAGGAGTCACAGACTGGGACGAAACAACCGTCCAGTGCTACCAGGTTTTCCATAGTGGTCTAACTGCAATTGATTCTAGCCTCAGGATGGACAGGCCAATTTAACGGTTCTTCTTGAGTCACATCGTGATCTTGTTAATTATTCACTTATCAATCTTGACTAATTTTACATGAGTGTATATGTGTGTTTGTGTACATCCTATCCTACTCATCACATGTGTGTAGCTTATCGATTAAATGGAGTTGGGTTATGTGCCTTCTCCACCACTGGTCATAATTTCACTTCGCACTCCTCTATTCTCATCATCCCTCTGATTATTTGTCTAGATCAATGATTGTATGAAATATATGTATTCGAAATTCATTCGCGTATTTGACTTATTTTTAGTCCTTTATTCACTAACCCGAATTAAGTCGATTATTATTACACATGAGGATGGGTGACATTTAGATTTCGACATCGTATATTTCAATGATAATCATTCATTTGATCCAATTGAAGTCAGATAAGGGGTCACAATAGTACATTCCACAATTAATTTAAAATTCTCTAATCTAACCAAACACATGGATCATTTATGTATGTTTTTGATAACATTTCCATCTCTTGGATTATTGGATCATCACTGCTGAATACTATGAATTTCAATTTCTTCAAAGTATAATAATGGATCGTTATAAACAAAACCCATGAAAATCAGAACCTCAAATGCCCTGGTATGGTTGAGAGTGCGGAGATTAAACTTTCCTTCTCGAAATGCTGTTATTGAACTCAAGTTGACGGGCTAGACGAGCACCGAACCATTAGGACGCTAGGCTGATCAGACCGGTTGGATGTCACTAGTTTAGTTTAGTATAAGAGCGAATAAGTCATATTTTGATTGGCGAATAGATTACCTGATAACAAGCGGATCATAAAGTCACAACACAAATAAATCTTTATCATTCATCCTCCTATTCTTCTGTTACTGTATTAAATCGTATAAGTCGAGAAGTAGATGTCTAGAATAGAAGGATTGTGTAGTGACCAGTCTATGGAAAAGTGAACCCCACGTAGAATGGTATTTCATTAGAAATGTTAGTCAAAAACAAGCAGTCTCTTTATTCATTTCAAATTAAATCAATCGTTCGAATTGACAGTCTGTGTAGAGAACTTATCGATGTATTTTGATTCAGATCATGAACCAATTGATGTTAGACGACCATTGAAATCCTGGAAGCACTGGACGACCGTCCAGTGCTGTTGGTGATGGTCTAACATCAATCACTTCATGATCTCAATCAAAAACTTAATAATCTCCACAACCATATACTGATAATGATCGATATATGATTGGATAGAGGAGATTGTATAATTTTTCATGAAGATATGATTGAAATCAGTTGAAAGATTATTGAAAACACGAAAGATGTTGTTATGTTTGTTTTACATTGTTCCTACTTGTTCCCTTTCTACTCTTTTGTATACTGTCTTATACTACTTATTTACATTCATTAAGCAGTTGTATTCCGGACAATTTTCACACTCATATTGTAACGCAAATTGTACTGTAATATTCTGAAATGTTCACACATACTTATAACGTTTATTGTATTTATCTGTATTTATCACTATAATTACTGTACCTTAATCACTGCGGCGGTTATCCACAGTTTCGTGCATGTGTTTAAACGCAACAGTTTCCATATTGTTTGCTCTTCGTTCGGTTTTGGTTGTTGATAAACTGTTATCAAATTTAGTCACAGCTATCAGCTGTCCTTTGTACTATCGTATGTTATAATTATTCTTTATGTTACTCTTACAGGAAGCCTTTGTTATTTTCGTTCTGAAGGACATGTTTAAACGCCCCAGACACCTCACAAGTTGATGTTTGTAAGTAAATGTTGTGTATTATTTATTAAAGAACCGCTATTGTAGACAAATCGTTGTTTTCCGAACTTCGGTTTGCGCGTATCTCAATCGGGTGACTTGGACGCTTCGATAGACTTAACAGATGTCTATTCTAAATTCTAGACTCATCATCACTATGAGTTAAAATATAATGGTTTACATTTTCAATTCTATCATAAACCATTGGAAAGCTTTATCACAAGTTATCTAATTCTTGACATTATTTATACCTCTATAGGCGATCTACACGGAATCCTACCTCATCTCTCATTGTACTAGTTGGCGTCCATTAGCTAAGGCATATGTTCAACTCTGATAAGATTGATATTCTCTGCGCGTTTAAAATAGACATCAAATATCCTTATAATCCGAGATGTTATCATTGGCGATATTCATCCAACGATTGATCTTTTTCTAATCTATGAAGTTGCAATTTCTTGATTTAATAGTTGTGAATAACAGTTGCAACTTCATACGTGTTTGTTTTTCTCTTGATGATTATCAACCATACATGTTTTCTGTTTTTCTTCAATTTACATAAGGAATAGGATGAGTCCATTGTCTCCACCATGTTCTTATATTCCAAAAGAAAAATCTCCACATTCAATATCTAGTCTTGATGAAAATGAAATAGATGAAGTTCGAAAGAAGTTAGATCATCTTCAATCATTACTAATACAAGTTAAAAATCAACTCAATTCTTCACCCAATGATGAATGATGATGATGATAATATGATTGATGAAAGAATCTTTCCAAATACTTCAACTGAATTGAGTCTTTTACAGACTACTGCAAAGAATACTGAAGAAAATGGAGAAAAGATTGATGATTCATGTCAAAATTTGCCTAATTATGCTACATTTTCAGTGAAACAATCACATGAATATGCAGTGAGAAATTGGTTACTATCAAATTTCAATCATATTTAACTACTTATATCGATAAAAGTAGTTAGAAACAATTGTGTGAATTAATTTCTATGACATGAAGATCAAGTTTGTCTTTATTTCTTTTTAAATAAGTGTTTTCTTAAAATATCATTCATCTCATTATAATTAGCATTGGTATGTATGACATCCATCGTATCAGTGTTCATCTTAACTTTGCTCTTTAATGTTAATTGTAGAATGTTTCTGGAAAGATTAATTGATTTATTTAGATATTTATGAGTGTAGACTAAATCGATATTATTGGATAATGTGGTAGATTCTACGTGAACCAAGAGCTTCTTAACCCAAACGAATAAACTCGGAATGTAATTAGACAAACTTTACTATAGTTACTGTTCAGTCCGTCAGACAGTCAGTCAGTAACAAGGTAGAATTTCGCACGTACATTAGTTGACATACCACATCAGCACACAGATACAATTGTCCATTCAAATCCCATAGTGGTAGAGGTAGTAAAAGTATAAGCAGTAATCGGAAACATTAGGGTTTGATGTTATTCAAGGATTATAATCCAGTGAAATAAATTTCAAGGAGAAAAAATAGAGGGACATGAATAATTCAGAAGATTAGAATTTGGGAGAACACAAGGAATGGATGCACCCGAGCCATTGGAAACGATTTTGAGCCATGTCATTCAAGATCTCTAACCATTATTTCCTATCGTCTTGCGGATCTTAACAAGGCAGTCTACATCTACCAATATGTCTCATTACACTAGTCAGTGACTTCATGGATTTGTGCCATGTTTTGATATGGCCGCCTCTAGTTTTCTTTCAACCTACTCCTACACCATAAAACACCACACGTCGGGGCGGTCTGTGTTTGGGCATAAGTAACACATGTCGCAACCAATTAGGAAAGTTGTGCAATACTCCTGAAGGCTTTTGTATGGAAATTATACTGTAGGTACATAAAAAAATTACTGACATATTTTCATAATTAGATAACTGTAATGAATAAGAGATATGTTGATATGGAGAGCTAATCAGAAGTAGTCTAAGGCGAATATCAACCGATGGCAATCACAAGTGACTTGAAAGACATTTTCATTTCATTGTCTGTGAAATGGATCAATTTCTTAAGGATTAGAGTGGTATATATTGTAAAATCCAAACTATGGTTTGGATAGGGGAATAACCGTCCAGGTACGTTAGACACGCGCCATTTTCCGTCGAAATCAAAACAAGTAATCGGGTAAATAGCGGTTGTATAGTTCATCATAAATTTAAATGTAAATCGTTACCTAAACAAATATTACCACCCGGCTATTCAACCAATGATTGTTCAATCAATAAAATCTAAATTACAATAAATAAAGTAGTTGATGAAAGATGAAGGAAAATTACCGGTCACAACAAATGAACGTTATTCTATCCTGACTGGATAGAACACACAAAAAAGGAGGAGCAAATCAATATGGCTACCGCCAAGAACAAGTGTCCAGTAAAACAACACAGATGCAGTCTGGGAAGAAACACAAACTTAGTGAATGCGTAAGAAAAACAAAAACTATGATAAAAAATACAAATATTAACAATTCAAATGTAATCACAAGACAACAATGTACAACTAAGGGGATCAATAGGAACAAAGTACAAGTATATACATGGAGGGATTTTCACCAACACACAAAACATTCAAAATGGATCTTAAACTGGCCCCCAAAATCCCTCCATACCACACAAACTACCTTGATGCCTACGGTCATGGTTCATTATATAACATATTACACTATAGGAACGAGTAGTACTTACAGCAGTACGCCTACTCGACCTAACTACAATAATAACAAAAAAGACTAATCCGAAGCTTCAAGGAGACCTGCTTCACTTGTTCTCTGATGATCAACAATAACAGTCGTGGTATAGACCTAATCACTCTTGCCCAAACTCCATCCATGCTGTTGGATGAGGGCCTCGCTGACAATTCAATATTTATCTTCTGCTGATTCGACTGTTGCACATACTTCCTTAACTCAGAAACTGTCCCCACGAAGCTTGACGCACTGTCACTGTAAATCTCCGGAGGTTTACTTCTTCTTCCAATAAAACGTAATAAGGCCATTATAAATGAATCAGCAATCAAGCTACACTTCATTTCAATATGTACTGCCCATGTTTGCAAACAAGTAAACACATATCTATATCCTTTTTCTAATGACCTTCCTATGTGTCCCGGTTCTTTATGACAATGTTTAATTATCATTTCCGTCACTAAGTGTCGACTGGGTAAAATTACTGGATGTCCAAAGCATTTAACAATTCTGAGTAGTTTAGACGACCTGTAACACAGAGTAACCCATCAAGCATTATCGGTGATAAACCTTTCAGATCATCATGACTTACTACTTTACTGCTGTTTCTAAATTCACTAAATAATTCTCCATACACTTCCCTTTGAACCATCAATAAATTCTTACACTTAGCGATGTCAAGCTCCTTCACCTTTAAACATCCTAGATGAACGGATCCTTTACAATTTGGTTAACGAAATACCATCAGGAATTCGACTATAGACACTACCATATGATCTCATTATGAGATTGAATGAGGTGATAATTGACAACAAAGTATGATCATTAGTGTTTCTATAAACAAACGAGGTCAACACAAATATGTTTGTTAAGAAAATGCACACGTTGTTTACATTGATATTAAAAAAGTAATAAATTTTACTGTGAAAATGTTATCGGATGTAAGAGAAATGATGATAGAACGTGGTGTGTTGTTATATTCAATGCGGTGAATTGGACAGAATTCCCGAATTCTTAAATCATATTCCTAAATGCACACAGTTCAGAGGTCTTTGTTTCATTAGCGAGAGTGACATCTATAAGAAGGTCAGTGTGTGCTGCTTCGATCTCTATTGGACTCAACAAAGCTGGTCTATTCAAGAGTTGCTTATCGACTCACAATACGCATGTGATATAGTCCTGTTTGGTGAAAACACTGATGAAATGCAAATTCTTTTGTTAGTATTGAGCAACAATGCCAGAATGTCTGTAATGAGTTCCGCCCTCTCTAAATGCAAGTTGTTGTTTCAGGACTGGCCTGAATCAACACCTGAACTGAGGATAGGGAATGAAGTAGTCGAACGTGTTGACAATTTCACTTATCTTGGAAGTCTGATCAGCCCTAATGGGTTGGTGTCTGACTAAATGTCAGCACAGATTCAGCAACCTCGTTTGCGTTTTGCTAACTTGCGTCACCTATGATGAAGGCGAGATATCCGTGGAGCACCGTCTTCATCGTAAACACAGTACATTAGCATCTCTACCAAATCCAAACCATTTGTCTAAGTTGTGTCCAATGGGTTTTGCTGATATCGAGAAATGTCACGTTGCACTTCCTCATTTACATAATGATTGAATGGTCCTCTTGGTCTCACACATTGTCCGGACATCCCATGTATCTACATTAATTAAGTGTTGTTCTAGTTATTAGAAGGGATTTGGTCTTGTGACTTCGGAATAATCTCGACTTCACCATGAAGCATCACAGTTGTGATGCAAGAACATCCTTTAAATTCCAGGTCAGAGTTTGGCATATTTTTAGCGACGTTGATTTCTGAATTATGGAAATGCTGACTTCATATTAAACCATCCTCATTTACTTGGATATATGATCTGCAATCTAAACAGCCATAATGGGTTGGTGACTGACTAAATGTCAACAGAGAATCAAAAACATCGTTTGCCATTTTCTTAACTTGTCTCACATATGATGAAGGCGAGATATCCGTGGAGCACCGTCTTCATCTTATACACAGTACGTTAGCATCTCCAGCGGATCCAAACCATTTGTCCATGTTGTTTCCAATGGGTTTTGCTGACATCGAGCACTGTCAAGCTGTACTTCCTCAAATACATAGTGATTGAAGGGTATTCTGATGCGCCCCAGCCCCACTAATAATAGGAAGAATTCCAAGTTTGTAATAAAGAAGTATATTCTGCAAACAGCCAGAAACCAGTGATAACAATGATCATAAACCAAAACATATATATATACTGCACAAAACCGTCCTCGTGGTAACTTACCAAATAGCATACAAAAAGACTTAATGGACCAGCAGCATTTAAGATATTTGGCAACTCGGAAATATCACATGAAGGTGACAAGAACGCGAAAAGAAATAAGTTAAAATTTTCTAAATAAAATTACACGATGAGGTTTTTTTCCAAGTGAGTTTTAGCGATCTAACGTTCACAACATATTCAATGAAAGCATACACTTGAGTCATAGTCAAATGTGTTAATTAAGAATATCGGCTAACAATGAGTTTATCCATCACAATGATTGTTATAAAAAGATACACAGAACGTGTTGTGGATTTTTTAGTCAGGATTATTCTCCACAGTCTCCTTCACCAATGATACACAGAACGTGATAACTAGTCGACTTTTAAAGAATCAAATTTAACAATGGACATTTCACAGATTGATAAATAACGGAGGTGAATCTGGATGATTTTATGAGAAGAAACGACCACCACTACAATCATTTGAAATTAATTGGTGAATGGTTACAGTGTTTATTTAATCTACACGGATTGAATATTGTGATATTTTGCTATTCACTGATCATTTAATAGTGTGATTTAGTCAACAATATGTTGAATGATTCTTCGATTCCCGGAAAATTGTATCATTCAAAGAGTATTGGTGTAATGCAGCTAATGTGATTTAGGAGAGTAATCTTTCACCAAAGTCACATTATTCTATAAATTTCCTCATTCTAATAATTCTAAACTGAAATTAATCTGCTTCTAATTGCCGACAGACTTCAATATTGTAGAGATTCACGAATCGATCTGGAAGATTTCTTAATAGGTTCATGGTGGCATTTATGATGAGGATGCTTTCAAAAATGGCGATTCGATCTACCACAAAGTGGCAAATATTTAATTATAAAATGAAGATGAACATGAAGTCCGGCTTCAGTCATTTCTGTTGGACATTACTGATTGATTTCTTTACTACT